ATGATTGTGTCGCTAAACTATCAATTAGACTGACAAGGTTTTGAGATATTTACTGAATGAGCAACTGATAGAGAAACCTACTGTAATCATCTGTAGTGAATGAAGATAAAAGAAAAACAACACTAGCGATAATTATAAGTCAATTTGCTGACCGATTTTGTTACTAGTTTCATTAATTTTATCAGTCATATTACGTGATTGTCAAGTTATGACAATGCTTTATGACGATATCCTGAAACTATTAAATTTAACTAGTTATAGTGTTGACTGAGGATTAGTCAGTGGAAAAATAGGTATTGTTGCTTTAGGTGATTCGAAATCATCAGAAACTTATAACGTTAAAGAATCCGAGACGCCTAATTTAATTATAAATTTTAATTCAGAAATATTCGTTTAGTGTTCATTCTAGTAGGCTACTGAGTTTTGATTTTAAACGTTTGTTTAGCCAACAGCTACTTGGGGATTTAGTTATTTCACTAGTGCAGTTGATAGTACCTAAATTTTTAATCTTATTATCTGAACTATGTTCGCATTTTAGGCTGCTAATATGATAAACCAATCCATAAACCCAAATACGATTAGCAACAACGACTATGATGGGTTTATTGATAAATGTTAAAGGCGATTCAGATGATTTCTAAATTTAGAAGACATGTAGATATAGTGTAACGTATGTATGGGCCAGGTTAACATGCAGGTTGTTGGCGTATATGACGATTTAAAAATAATGAACATGACCAGAAAATAGTTTTAAAGTTTAGACTGCTTGTGAAACTTCAGGCAGGAATATGATGCGTGATAAACATTCCATAAGGAGTTACTGCATTTAGCCTAGGGACACTTACAAATACATAGCAAAAGGGACCGGAAAACATATACATGTTAAGTAAAAAAAATCATCCAGTAAAATAGTTGAACTCGCCTGGGTTATTTTTGAAAATTAGATTATTCAGTGGACGACATATATAACGCTATTCGTGAGTAGTATTGATCCAAAAGCATCCAGAATAAAACATGCAGTATGACAATTAATTCCAGGGTGCTTGATGCTGTTGAGGTTTTTGACACTCGCTCGGATCAGAACAATCGAATGAATCCAGATAATTGTATGGTTGTCATTGAACGAACCATCTAAAATGAACTTATGATTGCAGAAAACTTATAGCTGAAACTCACCGTATGTTTTTGGAGTAGTCATCCTCGTTGTTTGGCAATGGAACTCGAGAATATGAAATTAGGCAGGCAGTGGTCGGAAGAAAAGATATTACAGGATAGTGCATCGTTTAAAACAGGATGAGGTGTTAAGTGAAGGAACACTGAGAATTAGATCCAGATAACTATTTAGTCCTTGATCGCATTGTTAGTCAATGTATATTTACGCTATTTACAGGTCATATTTGCTAGAGCTTGATGTTTAAACAAGACTATGTCGCTGAAGCATGTAAATGCTATCACAGCTTGTTAACAAATCATCAAAGCTAATTAGTTAATATAGACGACCAGTTTTTATTATCGATTGAGCTAGTTTGTCATGAGAACTAATCAATATAACATTACAATGATGCATGTGAGCATTAATCAGAGGACTATTAGAATACAGTGTTAACATAAATATAAAATCGATCGAGAAAGTTGAAGTGGAAATAAGGATTAATAATAATAGGTTGCGTTTTTCTAGTCGGGCTTACCAATGTAGAACTATGGTCTACTACGATATTAGTACTGCTCTAATAATAGACCTAATCCTAAATTTGTAGATTCGTCATGATATAACTACCTAATCTATAAGATCTTACGTGGAAGTCACACCATCGACTACGCCAACTCACTGTATCGTATCAATTACCAATACACGATGAAGAACTAGGTTAGTTTAGAGAAGGAACAATATATTTAATATGAATAGAGATATAGGATAATATCCAGCAGGGACCACGCCTGCATGGCCGAGCCATGCCACTCGATCAACTCCAGTCCATTCAATTCATTCTTCGCGCCTTCTCCATTGTTAGGTATTTCTCGGCGTTAAATATTGAATATTTATTTTCTGAGTAGTCTCGTGTTCACAGCTTTGTGGATTGTGTGGCTATTGTCCAATGCCACTACATACTCACTACTCAGTGCGTTAAAGCAAGCTTAACATTGAAAAGCCGGAAATCTGCTACCAGTGTCTAGTGTATGTTTGCTGTTTTGGCCATAAAAGGTAACCGAAGGGTCATGATCAGGGAGTAAAAAGGTAATTAACTGTTATTAAGCTCACTTTTTTATAGATCATATTTCACCACTCGCAAATATGCGTTTTCTTACGGTATGATGTCAACTGGTACCTAATATGTTCACCCTTACGATGAAAAGTACCTGCAAATTTTCACCTCCATATTCGAATTTATTTTGGACAACTGTCTTACAGTCTGAGTGCTTCGTACGCCCCGAGAAACATTCGTAGTTCCAGTATAACTTTCTCACGCAGTAAGTTCAAATTAGACACTAGTCTTTCTAAATAAGGCTGTTAATCTAATATCCATATTCTCTATTTCAGTTAATCGATGAAGACATGTACCACTTGCATCTGTTGTATACTGCCATTTTACTCCAATTCTAACTGTTATACCTTACTTTTGAATAATAAAATTGCTATATGCTGCAAATACAGACTTATTTGTTTTGATGGAGGTAGGGGGGCTCATGGGATTTTCACTAAAGAGCTAAGCGAGTGCGTAAACCAGTGTAAGGTACCATACGGGGTGCATTTGAGTTACTAGTGTTCCATAAGTGCGGGTAGGGGGATTGCTTGCTTGTCATATGGCATTTGAATTAGAAGCTATAAGATAAGACGCAGGTACGGTTAGGATGTGTAACGCGTGTACATCCATCAGTTGGTGTGACAACCCATGGTGGTTAGAATAAGCTATGAGAGGACCCGAGTCTGTAGGTCTCCCAAGGAGATGACGAGGATATGCACCAAATCACTTAACCTATACTCATTACAGTATAGACGTCTTAGAGGTGACCTAATGGCTTACAATAAACCTTAACACTTCTGGACATCCCCTAAAACACCTAATTAAGCTTAGTTCCAACACTAACCTAAGGGGTAACACCCAGAAACCACAGACACAACATAGCAGGACGGACTGTAGGCACAACTTCTCCTCCTTAAGAGTTGTCAAATGCTGGGATTTTCTGCCGGCCGAGCTAATCCAAGCGACTTCGCAGGAGTCCTTTAAGAGGCAACTGGGTTCATTCTTAAGGACTAAGTATAGTATCATACTATGATTTACCAATTTCTTTTTCCTCTTTTATTGTTAACATACCAAGTTTTCTGCCGTGAGGTATTGGTGATCCCCTGCTACTATCCACGGAAGCCTGTTAAGCGAAAGTTTCTTCTATTCAGTCCACAACCATTTGAACACATGAACTAGGTGCTGAGAGGCTCGCTTATCACAAGTTTCTTGCAACGATTAAGTAGATAAAACAAAGTAGCATTAGATTCAGAAATTTATTCAAGAACTTTCATTAAGAATCGAATAGCAAACAAAGGTTTAAACCAAGTTCCAGTTTAAAAGTTGTATTGGTAATGTTAAGCTGCAGTTTTCGTTGTATTTTTCCAAACGAAAGAGTAAAAGAAGTCACAAAATACTGGAAGTGGTTGTGAGACTAAAATGGAAGTACAGCATCCTTTTTATCATCTGCTGTTCGTTGGATCTCCCGTAAACAGTTCCATAGGGCCATAGTTCTAAGGGCGAAACAGTTTTTATGATCTGTGAAGACTCACTCCTGTTGCATTCTAAATGAAAAAATGGTGATGAATTTAGTCAGAAATGTGGAATATATATATAACCAAATTACATATTTTTTAGCAAAGAATTTATGCAGTTGTGATTTACCTTGAGTTCATGAATATTAGATAAGGTCAGCTACTATTACTTGCGCAATGCATAACATGGGCTTAGTACCGTATTGCAATGTTTTTATTATTTTGCTCCCATTTAAGTATTCCCATGCATCTGTGTCTAGTTTAACAGGACAACATACAAGCAGAGTAAGTGTCTGATAAACTAAAAGTCCCAGTTGTCAAAAAGATTCTTAACCTTTGTCCACAACCAGCTGCATTTAATTGAGACACAGAACACTCATCTTCTAAGACTGTATACTGCTGTTTTGCGGGCAACTAAAAGCTCAGACACTTAGCTATCTTGCTACCGATGTTATTGATAGGGAAATTGTTTAATGACAGTGATCATGAAATATGGTCAGTGATAGATGTATAGTTTAGAAATAAACACCAAACATACTTATCGCTATCTTATAATGTATGATATCATACATGCTATATAGCAACAGCATCAAAGGCACGTTTTTTCCTATTTTTAATCAGGCTGATCTGAATCCGTATACACATTGGAAACAGGCAACTCTATAGAGTATACTTACTAAACTGATCTGTTTCGTTACAGGCTTCAAGCACTATACTTAATTATATCATAATTCCTTCAACTAAACTGAATTATACGACAAACAAGAAAATCAAACTAAGCAAGTGTCATAGTTATTGTTTCACTTGCAAAGACATGTTGCTCAAAGTAGGTAAATGGACATAATTAAGCCGATAAAACCAAAACACGAAATATAGGCCAGTTGAACTTACCTAAGAAAAAAAGAAGGATACATATATACTGCTTTAAAGCAGTATTCAGTATGAATTCATACTGAAGACAACAGGAAGTTGATCATAGAAACACAGTTTACAGTACAACAAACCTTTCTTCAGTAAAATCATGCACTGACAGTCTATCTGGAAACAATCAACTATGTGAATAAAATCACCATGACTTGAGATATCATTTCAGCGTGCAATGGACGTACAGTGTAACGCAGTCGGACGTGGCGAATAAAAATTAAAAACAGAGAAAAATTAACTACATAATCTAGTTATGTAATTAAAAATACATTATGAAATGACAAAATATGTGGTTACTTGAACGCACAAATGACAGTATGCGATACATTAAGTTTACATTGGTTGCGTTGCGGATAAGATCACCCCTCAATCACCTAGTTAAGCTCGGTCCCAACACAAAATTTGAGGGAAACACCCAGAAATTAGAGACAACACAGGGGAATTGACTGTATGAACAAATCTCATGCTTTAAGAGTAGTCGAATTTCGGGATTCACTTCCGGCTGAGTTAGTCCAAAGGAGTTCCCAGAAGTCCTTTATTAGAAAACTTAACATAATATTACGGGCTGAGGGCAGTATCTCATTATGATTTACTGACACTTCTTTTTTCACCGTAAAAAATACCTAGTTTCCTACCTAGAGACATCACTGACCTACTGATACTAGATACGGGAGCCTGTTAAGTTTCTATTACATCCAAGCTCGTGACAAAGACATTGAATGTAAGTACTGCCTTGTCATTATAGGACTATCAACCCCTATTAAAATAGTGAAAATATACCGGCTCCACATGGAATCATACAGTTATTTCCGAATTCTGATATTGTGGTAATCTTTTGAATATATCAGAATTGCACTTTCAACCTTGACGGTAACTAAGTTTCCTATTTGTGCATTAGTATGAAAAACTCTTAGGAAGATTGGAAGCTTATCTATATATCAACTTTATATCTATTTCTAATTATTTTCGATTGCTAGCACAGTTATATGTAAGTATAACCAGAGTAATGAATATGCATACCGTTCATTGTTGAAATGTCATTATCATATGTTATCTCTAGATTCTTGACACATTGTAACACAGGTGATTCCAGTACCATTTGTGGTTCTTAAAACGTTTAAGAAATTTCTGTCCGCAAGCTAAATTAAAAACTGCATCTAAATGTGCAGATGGGGTTGTCAGGCAAACGACACAGTATCTTAAAATCGTTTCACATACTGAATGATAATTAATTATTAAGACATACATGTGCAAGTGGTGTGGAACAAGATTTTGTAAAGTTTGTTTGGTCGGAGACTTTCAAGGAAAAATGAAAGCTGAGGACCACTGTTTTGTTTGCAATCAGGTAAATTCCCAACACTTTACTTAGTTTTATAAGAACCTGGAGACATCTACTTATCTCAGCTACTGTTAACATATTTCATATGGATTTAAAACCCATAACCTAGCCTTACTCGGGTTTTATGCAGCAGTAAGAAAGGGAAAAACTGAGCGGAATTTAGTTAACTTTGATGAATGGAAAATATTGTCTAGGCAATTAGATTACACTGGTTTAATTAGCATCTCATTCAGCAGTTAGGAATAGATCGTATTCAGAGGTACGTTTTAATGCATATAGTAACTTAACTGATGTCTATGCACTGAATGTATAAGTAGACAAATTTGCACGAGGTAAAAACAAGTGGCTCAGGGACATATTTCAGTTCTTGTCTAACAAATAAAGTTTTTATGAATTTGAATTTGCAATGATTTGGGGATTTATCTGCTTTTGAAGCATCAAGATCTATCTGGTGAGATGTCGTTAGTTTCAGATTTATAGCACATAGTTAACCTAATATACATAGCCAATCTCTAGTTTGTTTACACTGGTGCCTTATGTAAAAATGATCAGAAATATGTGATGCGATATTACCAGTCACTAGCACAGAGAACAAAGGAGACGAAATATTCTCATAAAAATGGCTCATTATTATCTCAAACATTTAGTATATAATTAGTGAGACAATCATCAAATATACAACGACATAGAAACAAATCCCTATATTATGTTCGACACGTTAAGCGAAAACGTTTTAAATAATGTCAATCTTTATCTTACAGTCCTTTATTATTTCTAAATCCATTTTCAGTTAAGATGTATTGGAAAACGCGTTGAATATGTACCGTCTACAAAGAAACCAGAAACAAAATCTATAAAGAAAGGAGGGGCGAGAAAAAGCAAAAAGAAAACAGGAAAAAGTGCAAAAAAGACTGGGAAGAGTAAAAAGAAGAAAAAGTAGATACAAAATTACGTTTTTCGATCCACGAAATCATAACACAAGTCACAGCTACCAAACTTTATTTAAAGAACATAGATCTTTAGAAAAGTTTATAGTACCCCAGTAGACAAAGTGTTTGATTAGCAACATTATAATTTAATAAACATGAGTACTCAGTATATTATTGGAAAGTGGTACAGTTACACAATGAAATATATTGGTTATTATGAGATATTACTCGTTTTTTCATTTTGGTTGCTAGCTTTAACTAGGGTGAAAGAAATTGGATTTTGATGTTTACATATTCTTGTGATCCATCTAATTGGATTTCATTTTAGAGGAGATAAAATATTTAATAAGTGATTAAGTGACTACAGTCGTGTTATTGATGAGTCAAATGGTTGTGGTAAAAGTATTGCAAACCGTAATAAATTTTAATTCGTGAAACAATACTATATTCAAGAATGCAATTCATGTTAAAACTATAAGACTGCCACAAACATACATCCCCATTCTCCCCAAATTTTAAAACGGGACGAATATTAGGGAAGTTGGAACTATCGGAATAATTTTACGGACTATTACTTATACTTTCTTATTGAATAAATAGATAACTGTATTGTTGTATTTCTATATTCACCTTATGGAAAGCTTTTAATTGACCTATTAAATGTTGTTGCACGGTTCACTATTCCTTAGCCACTGCGAATAAACTATGTATTGTTTGCTCCGCACTCTACCACTTATGATATGTGTTTAAAGTGTGGTTCCTTATCCACTGTGTTATGTAGTCAGTCGTTCCAAGTATATTATTGTCTGAGTTTCAAGTCACTGATGAACTGGGTAAAATAGAGAAATAATATGCCTTCTATTAGTCTTTTGGTTGGCTACTGGGTTAGAAAGAGCTTGAGGACCAATAAACATTACCGTATTGACTGTTATTTATTGGTTAGTGTGTCGATTGGTAAATCGATGAGCGGTCCTACTGGGAGTATATGTGAACCAGTCGATAACCCGAAGTATGCTTGGTAAATCTAGCGAGTGATATCAATTAGAATCTCAAGTCATAACACATTGGGGATCAAAAGACAATACCAAGCTTGTGCAACCAACTGTCAACGGGGATGGAAATGTAGTTATCATTAGGTGTACCGTTTTTCTTCTACTTTGATCAGCTAGTTTCCATCCTTATGGGCAGTTGATTGGAGGTCTGTATCTTACACTTGTTGGTAGAACATGCTGGCGACGACTCATGGAGAAGATATAGTTGTTCTCGAGTGGAAGCCTGTCTTTTGGCGAAGTTCTCCCATTTTCGAACAACGAGAAGCGTATTACGCTCATATGATTTTGAGATGGTGGAGCTACAAATCTTCTCCACCATGAAAAATCAGACATTTAAACAAATAAAGGCTTATTTTCCCCCAGTGTATAATGCGAAATAAGGAATTTCTATAGTAGAGGGCTGTTATTTAAGCTTATATGCTGCTCTAATATCGGAAGTTCTAAAATATTCGACTTCTGAAGCCATTGCAGCGTAGTTGATTTAATAATCAAACAAAAATTTAGTCTTGCTTAAAAAAGTAGACAGTTGGAATGATTTGCAAGACTCAATGCCGAAATCCCAATTCTTTCTAATTAATGGCTAAAGTCCTTAAGTGAAATGGTCTAAAGTAGGTTATAATAACCCAGGTGCTTCTATCCCTTATCTCTTCGTAGATCTTCAAATTCGGTGTTATTTCATAATTTTTATTCTGTGAAGTGATTTCTTTTTTTTCCGACGACATTTTCTATGTCCATTTCTGTTCAATTACAAACACTATTACTACTACAAACTCTTTGGTATGAATCATTTTTCAGTGCTGATGAGTTTCGATAACTTCAGCTGATATACATTTGCGCCACAATCTACATTGACTATGACTAAAATACTTGTACTACAAAGTTGGTTACTGAAGGACTCAGAAATAAATCATGACAAAGTTATGATGGGGTTTTGTTCTCTGAGCTGGAGAACAAAACCCCATCAAAATCATTCACCTGAGCTACAAATCTCCACCATCTCATGAAAGAGTTAGCAAATCCATGTATCCTTTTGAAATTTAAATTAACATATTAAGACACATAGAGCTTATAGTTTTACACATTCCTGTTTTTATGATTTTAAAAATCTGTTTATGTAAAAGAAATACTTATTCTTCAATTTACAATTGATTCCGGAGACCAAATTACTGACTGATCGATGAAGTAAGCTCTTTATAGTTTCTGAGTTTTTTGTATAGAAGTACGTTCAAAATTCCATAATTTTATACACAATTAGAAATCAGAATATTTTTGGCTGAAATAAAGACATCAAATCTATTGAAAAATTTAGATCAAGCAAGATTCTCATAAAAAACAATTCATAGTCGTATGAAAATCACTAAAACCAATCATGACTTATATAAGACTAAATAAAATGAAGATGTAATACATAACCTGCAAGGATAATTGACACCATCTAAAAATAAGACAAAATAACGACAATAAAAGTAATGGTCGAAAAGGATTGACAGCATACACCAAGCATATACTTTACTATTCTAGTAAAAACTTCACGATCACAAACCAAAGTCAGATATCGCAACATACTGACAAAAAGCATAATATAACTAAGTCCATATTCGTTAAAAATCAATAATATGTGGAGAGGTGGCAATACGTAACGTGGTAGAAACGAGATTTTTTGCGACATTGTGAAACTATTGCATTAGTTCTAGTTGCAAAGTCGTGAAATGCAACCAGAAAAAATCTGATAGGAAGAGAAGATACGAATTATGAAAGAATAATAGTGACTACTGATTTTTATTATTTAAGAAAAACTTATCACATTACAAGCACAATGCAACAAAAGAAAACTGAGTATATGACAAAATACTGATATATTATATTTAATGTCTCCTTTGTAACTAAGGCCCTAATCTGTGAAGTTGGTCGTTCAGGTCTTGATAAATATCTATACAACCTAAATATCGATAATTAAAAAATATATTTACCAGTAGAATCGATACACCAAATTATTTTAGTGAAACTTATCAACAACAGTCAAGCTTCTTCACTGAACCTCTACAAGTGTATATTAAATTTCTCCCCTTGAACTTGCAATCGACTAGGAGAACTATGAATAAATGTTATATCTCGATACAGTCAGTCTATGGTCTTTGTTTCAATGTCGACCCAGCGCCAAAATACCCCGGTATGGTCGAGGGTGGAGAGAGTCAGCTCTCTCGAAATGTTCTCACATGGCCACGCGTATACAACCGCTGTCACGGAAGTCCTACTCACTACTTTCTCGTCGCAAGGGTGTTGTATACGAAACTGAGAGGACAAAAAGTAAATGTCTGGCGCTTTAACCGGGTTGATGAATATGGAGAATTCAGCTAGGGGGGTTGGAAAACCTTGACTCCAAATCAATGGTACACATGGGCTCCAGAATCCAGCTGGAAAAACGGCATATGAGCCTACTGTTGGTCACCGACTACCACGGGCCTGCATCTCCTGACGTTGTTTCACTGCCTTGTGGATTAGACCTCTAGGTCAAAGGCTCGAAGAGTGATCCTCTAAAGAAACCACTTAAGTCTTGGCACTCAGACAGTATTCCAGCCCTTACACAAATCAAATGAAGCGTGGTACATGCATATATGGTTCCTTCTTGTACCAATGTTTATGTGTTTAAATAAATAAATGAACCGGTTGGACTCCTACTACTTACAAATCACTTTCATTACAACCTCACTAACTGATCTCATGTAAGTAAATCCTTGAACCTCGCCATTAATAAAGAGCAACGGATATGTCCTGATGCTATGTTATTACTTACTTCCAAGTTTCTTAGTACTATCTTGAGAATCCATAACACCGGAATTGTGCACTGCTACATTGTATGTTATCTATTCGTATATTTAGTCAATTTTATCAGTGACATTATCTAAATTATAACTGGTCATTTTGTACGTTTAAAGCGTACAATATTCCGTTTGAATGAATTTATATAAGGCTCTGTGAATACACAAAATAGGAACATAGTATTCATATTTGTTATATTTTTTTTAGCAAAATAATAAATTTACATCAGTTCTTCATTAAACAACTCATCGATGGCAAGCTCTCCTGACTGCTTATCTTTGAGATACTTTTGAAAGCCAGTGGTTTGTTTAAATTTGTTGATTAGTCGTTCGATCTGTTTGGATGTCAACTGATAAACATTCTTTGGATCTCTACTCATAGACTACAAGATAGAAAGAAATATATCTCAAATTAACGCACTCACTTCGAAATCATCCTCAGGATACATCTCTAAGTTGTATATGCAAAACAACTGATCATCTCCGGAGACAAACACAGGTTTTTGCTTTTTATGTTTGGCTAACTCTTCTAAAACTATAATCGAGTAGTGTAGAACATATTGAATAAACAACGAATAATCTCGCCTTTTACGACATTAGTCTTTTTCTGTCTCGGCATATTTTTTGTGACTGCATCATTATTATCATACTCTCCATTTGTTAAAACCTGTAGTTAACAAAAACAGAACTAGTTAGATAATTCTGACAAGACTACCTGATCACAATTATTTCCAAGTGCTTCATTTGCATCGTAAGCTAAACCCAAACGGTTAAAATTTGATTTAACAGATAATCCATACTTCCAAGCTGAATTAATGACTGGACTGATATGAAACATTAATCATTAAATAAAAATTAATTTATACAGATAGTTTGTATCCAATAAATGGAAATTAAACACAAATTTAAAGAGCAAGAGTACGTAAACTTAGTGCAATATCATGACTGCATCAAATGCCTAACCGCCTATAGTTAAAAGACCAGTTATCGTACTTCAACAACTACTTTATTAGTGCATAAAGAAATTAAAGACATTCAAACCATTGACACTATGCAGCTTAACCACTAGGTCAGCTGAGTTCATATTGAACTGAGATCATCTCAATGATCAGAAGTCAACAGTTCAAAGAACAGGAAAAGTTAAAGATAGGAATAAGTGTCGTCAAATGTAACCAATACAAGACGACTATAGTTACATGTTTAGAATGTGAAATAACAGCTGGCCACAGTTAAAAAATTTCGCAAGGATTAATACTGGCTAAAGAAGATAAATAACAGCAACATTATTGAATGTGAATAGTATAATTATTTTATACAAAATATTTTTGAAGACCAAGGAAGATACAAACGTAACGAGGGTATCAAATGAATTTGGTGCTTACACTTAACTGATATATAACCAAGCTCTGATACTAAATAGAAAGAAATTACAAGTGTAAAATGAGCTAAGACCCTTCACTTAAAATGACTTACTTTTTGATTTTTAATTTTGCCTTTTGTTTTTTGCCTAATCGCTTCCGATTTCGAGAATAACTGAAAGTGTGCTTTTTCCCCATCTGCAAAGAAGGGGAAAGTAAAAGTAGTCTGAAACGTTTAAAATAAACACAAATATTAAACAACAAAGATATAAAAAGCTTAAGGTAACACACCTTCCGAACGTTTTGTTTATGTCAGTATTCTAAATAACCCTGAATCTTCGGATTTTCTGTCAATATGAAATATACGAAAGTATGTAACGAGATTTTCCCAGGAATTACATACGTTGATAATTTCCAGTTCATGCTCTGAACAATCAACCCAGTAACCAAGTAAAGCTTCGTAAACTTGTATATATATATATATATATATATATATATATATATATATATATATATTCGGTGCCCTCTTGTACCAATGTGTTCAAATAAATAAACTGTCCAAACCAAACTCCGTAGGTATCCTTTAAAAACTAAAACCCGGTAGTGGAAATCAAATCCTTCGACGATAAGGAGTGATAATAAAAATGTGACTTCTTTTCAAAGTACAGGCTTAAGTACTTATTTTGAATAATAACCAGTTGGAACCTTAGATTTACCAGTCGATACCGAATGCCACTGTTTTATATGACAATTGTTATGGCAGTTTAAACCACTCCGGGTTTCATAGGTTCTTTAATCATTAGGTATGTTAGCCTAAGTAGAAAGGACAAGAAGTTGAAAGTTGCTTTGTCTTCTTCTTTGAAACACACTGAGGCAGATTGTAGACAAATTTGTAACAACCTACGTTTCTGTTAAAACATCACTTTGGATTATGTCCTAATAGTTTGGGAAGAAGCAAAAGATATGTATGTCCTCACCTCGTCGGAAAACGGTTGTCTTCCAGGGGAATTAAGGTGAAAAGCCTAGTTAAATAACTATTATTCCGGTATATCCGGAAAGCGCTGTCCAACGGAACGGTTGACAATTTACTTAAGCACACTGAGTAGACACTCCAAAAGAAACTTTGTTGAGAGCCCATCTAATAAATCTATTGAAAAGGACGTCAGACATCAACATAACTATACTTGAAAAACATCACTACGAGTCATTTGCACTTTGTCGCAAACAGGGTTTAGAATCCAGTCAATATTCCCAAGCTCCCAACGTTTGGGGAAATTCCCTAAAGTTTACCATAGCGGCTTCCTCAAAATGGGTCAAATTTTCCCCGAAATTGGGTTATATTAAACCTGGTCACGAAAACATTCGTAAAATGATTGCCAGGTTGTACGATGAGAATAATGTTCAGTGTTGTCGAAAATATACAGACTACTGCACATGACATACAAAAGAAACTAAGCCATCCACAGATACTGACCTACAGGTTGGGATTCGAATTTTTCTGTGGGCCTTCGAAGTTCAATATTTACGACGGTTTTATGAAAAATTTTTAGTACTTCCGAGAGATTGAGGATGGAACCGGTTAAGAATCTCTCATTTTCAAAGGTGAAAGATCACTTATCTCACGTGTTGTGGTCTAGGTATGTGGAAACAATCAGTTTCAGTTCGGAAAGGACGGGAGGCTTGGTGGCCTGTGTTAGTCCTGGCAATGATGATCTCTCAGTTGATCCAAATTTCTTTAGAAGGAGTTGACGGATACAGCTTCAATCACGTGTTGAGATAATAAATTCCACCCGCTGATGGTTCGATGATTAGATTGATATTCAAGTAATTTGTTCTGCGCTTGCGAACATTTTTGGAGTGTCTTCGTAAATTTTCTGTTTTGGAAGACAAAAAATAAGGACATATCAGATGCAAATTTATCACCATGTGGTTTTAAAACTGTAATTAAGTCACTTCTAGTTCTTCAATATGACACAGGAATAGGCTTGGCTTTGCCAGTCGGGCATCATACAAGAGCTTTGCCATACCGGAAATCAGCTTAGTTACAGTCCTTTGGAATTTCTCCGGAAGCTCTCTGTCTCTTTTTAGATAGGGGATAGCCGCTTGTATGCAGTACTCGAGTTTAGGATGCACGGATACTTTATACAAAAAGGATTGATAATCAACATGGCTATAGGCCCTAGGTGTTGACACCAGAGTTCTGAAACCTTTGGAGGTTGTCTCACGTCAATGTACAGTAATTTTTAAGTCTTGGCTAACGATGAATCTTAAGTCATTGTGTGTCTGAACAGCAGGCAACTCACTGTTATTCACCGTGTATCTTTACATTGATGACCAATATGTATCGTAATGCACTTGGAAGCATTTGTATGCAACTGCCAAATTTTAGAACACTCAGACAATTTCTTCAAGTCATTTTGAAGCTCTAAATTATCAACTTTGCTTCGTTTATCACTCTCCACATCATGATATTGCCAGTATACAACAAGAGCGATAATGATGGGAGAGGAGGAAGGTCATTTACATACAAGTGGAATAACGCTAGCCCCAAAACTGTACCCTAAGGTACTTCGCTAAGCACAATTTCCCGCCTAAACAACTTTGAGTTCACCCGTACTCCTTGTTAGCGCCCAACTAGGAAGTCTTCTATCCACATTGATAGATAGACTTCAACCCATACGTTTCTTAACCTATATAACACTCCGTTGTGGTGAATTTTATTAAAAGCTTTTCTGAAGTCAATGTAGGCCACGTCTATAGGTAGGCAAGAGCGTACAGGCTTTCACGAGCCACTAATAAGCTTATGAGGCAGGAATAACCTATTCTACAGCCATGATGCTCCTCCAAAGGGATCCGGCTTTCATTGAGATTCTTGAACAGATCCTTCCGAATAATTTTTTTCGGAAATTTTAACAACACCACTGATTAGGCTACCGGATTGATAGTTCTCAGGTTCATGTTTCGTGCCTGTTTTAAAGACAGGACTTACTATGGCGTTCCTCCAGTCTCTTGATAGTCGACCCTGGGTTACGGAGAGATTAAAACTTAAAGTTCAGGGGTCCGTAACAAAATTAGCTAGTTCCTTTAGTAACTTGGGACGCAGTTCATTGAATCCCTTGAATTCGCCTGTATCAAGCTCGTTTGGCAAACCAAGGACATCGAGTTCTTTAATAGTCACGTTGTCCGCTGGGTGTGTGGATTTGTGTAGACTGATAGGAAGGGTGTTTACACGGTATATGCATTGCTAAAGTCGCTTGAGAATACTTGAGTTTTACCATCGTCTTTCTCTACTGTTGATAGAATCAATCGGTACACCTAGTTCCGAACGTTAGTTGAGAAAGCTTTGAGCATTTGTGTAACAGATCCGAAGCTCATTTAAATGGCAGAAACGTGGAATTTTTGGTTAATAAATGAGATTCAAATTCATAGACACTGTATTGAGACCTTAAGAAAATGCCAGTTGTTTTAGGAAATGTGTGGGAAAGATTTGATCTTTTCCAGAGTTCTTCTATCCATTGTGGTCGCGTTGGTTCACACACTGTTTTATTTCGGGATCTTACTTCTCCCCATGTGTATACTGAGGTCTGTCGATGCAGAGGCTGCTGCTACACTGTTTGTCTTGACATGTATTTATTGATGTGTATGGGATAGATGAGCCAGGTCATCTGCGAAGTCCAAATCGTCCAGTTGCATCCAACCTGTTCATTTTATTCCGTGTCGTCTCTCAAATGTGGTCATCATAAACCATTCAACCACCAGAAGAAAGAGAAAATGGAAAGCAGGCAGCCATATCTCATTCCGGTCCTGTCTTGGAATGTATCTGTCAGTCGTCCTCCATGCACCACTTTGCACTGTAGTTCGTCGAATGAATTCCGGATGATGTTGACAATTTTCTCAGGCACTCCGTAGTGCCGGAGAACTTTCCACAATATCCTCCCATTCACATTGTCAAGTGGTTTCTCGTAATCAAGGAACTTGACATATAGTGACAAGTTCCATTCAAATGATTTTTTAACGATGATCCTTAGTGTTGCGATTTTGTCTGTGCACGACCGATCCTTACGGAATCCGGTCCGTTGATCTCAAAGTTAAGTGTCTAGTGAGCCGTTCGTGCTCTGTTAAAAACCTTTTTTGGTACTAACAGTAGTGTGATACGTCTGTAATTCTCTCATTTGCCCAGATTTCCTTTCCGTGGTGCCTTGATGAGGTATCCTTCTTCACAGTTCATCGGCACTTGTTCGTCTTCCTAAATCTTCCCGAATAGAATGTTGAGCATGTTTGCAGTTACTTGAATGTCTGACTGTTATACTGGCAGGTCCTGCTGCTTTCCCACTTTTGATTTGTCTGATGGCCATCTTGATTTCTTCGATCACTGGTGGAGTGACATCTATAGAGAGGTCTGTGTGCTGCCTCGATGTCGGGTGGATTCAGTGGAGCTGGCCTATTTACGAGTTCCTTGAAGTGTCCTACCCGTCCGTTCCTTCGTCTTATATCCCAGTGAAATTAAATTACGGGCAGCTTCTGAGAACTGTTAATGGGCAAATATTATATATATTCTTATTGTATAAGTATTCAGCTACTAAAATGTGTATATTTATATTCTACTTATTATGAGCTGTATTTTGACCTGAAGATTATAATTATACGATCTACCATTCATAAATTATACTTATTTTGTTGATTAGAGTCTCCCATAATCACAGACACCTTTTGGCTTGTTCTCTTACAAATATCATTTCCTATTTTGTTGTGTGATGTGGTCTTTTTCGCTTGTATATAGACCAGGTGTGTTTGAAATAACTGATTCGTATTATGGAAGTCGGTGTTGGAGTCTTGGACTAAACTGGCAGGGATAGGAGGATAAAGGACCAACAAAGACGCCAGACTGCTTATACCGGTCGAACGTCGTTGGTTTGGCACAGTATTAAGATTGTATGTGTTGTATTTCGATTGGCGAATACGTCACGTGATAACTAACCGGCATTAAACTCACAACAAAATGGCGATGGAGATTTTACGGATAAAATACATAACAAATACAAATCTACATTTTACGTCCGCATTGTTATCAAAGTAATTCGCTAACAGAGTATATATGAAGTTAATTAAGGAACTATGTACCATCATACCTCATCAAAATCAAATGGAATATATAACAGACATTAAATCGGTGAGTAGAACTATGATAAATCTATTCCTTCATGTTTCACTTAAAAATGCTGATTATTTCTTCATTCGATACTGAACGAGTACACACAAAGACTTGCAAATCTCTCCCTAATTTCGTTTCCTTCTTCCAGGCCATGTCGTCGCACCGTTGTTGTCCATTCCGACTTTGGCGTCTAGGTTTCTCATCAGCATTGTCAGGTACTTTCCTCGGCAGTTCACTGTATTTGATTTCAACCTCTCATCGATGTCACTGCTATCATCTAGTTTCAGGAACCCAGTTTTTATTTTTGGTCATATTCACATTTAGAAATATGGTTATTATTAAGTACTCACCTATTTTTAAAGTTTTTCTGGGATTTCACGGGTTTTCTTTCATTAACACAGTAACCGTTGTGACTTTATAGTCCGCTAGTTATCATGTTGTCTATTCGCCAATGAAAATACGACTTATTAGCTTTTATACTGCACTAAACCAATGTCATCCGACCGGCCCGATCAGTCTAGCGTCCTATTGGTCGATTGTTCGCCCAGTCCGTCTAGCTGAGTCCAGAATACCAACAACAGCCTCCACTATGTGAATTGAATTGAATCATTTATTTCAGACATACTGGATTTATATATCAACCAAACAGACCTCAGCGCACCATAAAATAGGAAATAACATTTGTACACAACAAAGCCAAAAATTGGTTGCCGACGTGGGAGACAGTAGTCAATAAACTGAACATAGCTTAAGAACAGTAAATCGTACAATAATAAATTATAAGTCAGAATAAATCTTGTAACAAGGGGAATATAGATATACCTAATCCAGTTACTGAATATTTATGCCATGAGAGTATATAAATAATATTAGCTCATTATTAGGTCTCAGACTTTACACGTAATGTAATCTTCACTAGGATATAACAATAACATTCTATGTTCATATTCATTCCTAGGCTTTTATTTGTGTCTTTATATGCTGACATGAAGGAAAAACTTTCTTTTTCCTTATTTTGAGCTACGAGGTCTGGGTTTTTTCTGAGTGACTTTGAGAAGAAACCAAGACCTAGGTTAATTCGAAAAACTCTTAGGCCTGAGTAATTTATGAGAAAAGTTCTAGTCTCGCCGCCAAATACAGTTAGCTCACTTTACAGTGCACTTCATAAATTTATACGCATATGTAACCTGGAGTTTTAGGAACATGGATTAACATCTCTAATAATTATCGCTTTGTTTTAATGTATCTTTGGTGCATTAGGCAAAGGTGCCATTATTTCACACCAATTTTACTATCTGGCTATTCAGGTTCCATTCTAAAGTTTTGCGTAGACAGGGCTTGAAGGAATATAAAAATTCAAAAAAGGTATGTTTTCATTTTTTAACTATTCGATATGAGCTCTTTAAAAGTTGGATTCGAGCGACCAGTTAACACACCAACTATACAGCCAACACTAGTAATACGTCCTGCATAAGATTACTGGCAGGCAGGACTAATGTAAGGAATTG